AAATTACCTTTTTAAATTAGCATGAATATCAGGGATGAGCTAATAAACAAGTTAGTCTAGATGTTATTTTTTATTCCAAAGGAATTGTGCCTGGGGTGTTAAAGTAGAGTGTGATGAGCTAATTCATAGTGAAATCTAACATTCTCTTTCTTTACCTCCTTGCAAAAAAGTTAGGAAATCAAAACTTTTTTTTTCCCCTATGACTTTATGACTGAAGCAGAAATAGATAATGTAATTTCATTTTGGTAGCAGTTTTATGTGCTCTACAAAGCAGTGGAGAAGGCTGACTTTGCTAATGTTTGTTTAAAAGGGGGAGTTGACTAGTTTTCAACTTGCCAGTGGGTGTGTCTACTCAGTGTTTCCCTTTCTGCATAGAAAGTTAACAGACACATCAGAGTTTGTGCTGAAAGAGTTTAGGGAAGAAACTGTTGGATAGATTTCCTACAGAATGATGGGGCAGCTCATGAAAAATGATCAAGACTGGAATGCAAAGCTGGTGGGACTGATGTGCTGTATGGGTTAGTACTATCACCTGTAATATCACTTTCATCTTTTCAGAAATGAAAAAGGAAAGTCACATTACCTGTGTTGGTTTGTGGGGTGGGAGTTCAGCTGACTGTCCTGACTGTCGAGCACCTTTCAGAAATCTGGAGAGGCTCTCAAGCTCACTTCCGAGGCTCCCTGCACAAAACTTCCCCCTGTTGTTGTGCATAGAATATGCTTTTAAATCTCTATTTATTGTATATGATACTAACTGGATTTAGCTTTAATAGGATTTTACTGAAAACAGGTCGGTGTAGGCTGTAATAACCAATGCTGTATTTGAACATTTTTTCCCTCTAAATCCTGTTACTTGCATTCTATGTCATTATTTTCAGCATGTTGTATTCTATAAGGTGTTCATACATGTTTGTTTTCACTTAAAACTAATTCTAAGAATGAAATAATTTTTAAATAGAGGAATGTTATAAACTTTCATTCAGAAAAATAACTGGATAGTCTATAAAACCAGTAAAATTGGTTAAAATGACAGGGATGATTTCCCCCTTTCTGTTGTCATAGCAACATTGTCCTAAATATAAATTTCAGAGTTAGACCTCTCTCACTGAAATGAAATAAAGAACCATTATGAGACTTGTAATTGGAAAATTAGATGTTGTAATCTGGATTACTCCCTTTTGAAATAACTCCCTTTTGAAATAATGTATATGGACAGTGGTAAATCACAGCTTCCCTACACTTAAATTATTCCCTGATTGTTAATTGCTGAGGGGAGTTGAAGCTCTCACAGTCCACATTAACTCTATTCTTATTTTTGTAGCATTGTGGGAGTCATCTGGTGCTAAAGAACTTTCTTTGGTTTACTTGAATGGGACTCATGTAGACTTAGGGTTTAAAAGAGAAGATTTAGGTTATTCCTATTAGCAAACACTGTGAAAATGTATGAATGATATTAAGTCCTAACCTTGCTGATATACTTTCATTATGGATCAAAATCCCCAAATATTACATCTGTATTATCTACCCATTTTACGTTTTCATCAGTACTTTTAGCAACAACCAGCACAACACAGCCTCACTGACAAAAATAACATTTTCATATTTGCATTTAAATGAATCTCTCATTTGTCCTTGGAGGTGAATTATTTCATTAAATCAGCTTTCTTGATAGAAACCAAATGGATAAGAAATTAACCAGTCAGTGACCATTCTTAGAATTTGTTTTGATTCTTCATGTTGCTTAAAATATGGAACCAGTTTTTTTTATTAATTCAGAAAATAAAAAATATTAAATATTAGTACAAAATATAAAAATTAGTACAAAAAATAAAAATATTAGTACAAAATTAACCATTTTGTACTAATAGGAGAGGACTTTATATAATGCATAGTATGTTGTTTAATGAGACAGAGTAAATTCATTAGAGTTTATTTATTAATTCAATAAATTAATAAAATTTTGGAATGTAACTATAGGAATACTTTAATCTCATCTTATAACTTGATGTGGAGGCTACTTATTCTTAAATTATAAGGATTTGTAATAATTTATTGCAATTTTCTTTCTAGACAATTTAGCATTGTAGCCCTAGTTTATTAATTGGATGGGGATAATATGGATATTGCCTAAGAAGTAATGCTTTTATTTTTTCACTCTGTTTTCCTGTTTTGCTGGAGAGTTAGAAAAGCACTGTTGAAAGTGTGATATGAGTACTACACTTTCACACAGAGGTTCCATTGTTTGCACTCATGTGTTCAAAGTTCACTTCACACAAGGTAGGGCCAGATTCCACAGCACCCTCTCTGTGATTGCCATGTGTTCACTTCCATTTGAAAGATGATAATAGTTTGGATTAAGGGAAGCAACTATGGAGGGTATCATAACACTTGGGGTCTAACTATGCTCTTTCAATCTTAAATTAGTAAAGCAGTGTTTCTTTGTTAATGGAGAGGTCTATACCTAGTTGGTTTCTATATTGCTACTCAGCTTCCTCTCCATCATGCTCCACCTGACAGCCCTATGGCAGGGTTGGTTTTTCTTTTTTTGTGTGCTTTTGTACATGATGAGTACCACATCATTTGCCCAATTGGCATGTTTATCACACTGCTTTTATGTGAGATGTCCTCTCTAGATGTTGAGCTCCAGAGAACAAGGGCTAGTGCTTTGTGTCTAGCCTATAGGTCCCAGCACCACTGTGGCACAGGGCTCATCAAAGTACTGGTAGATGCTAGAATGAATGAGTGAGTAAATGAGGGAAGTATGGAATCTGCACTTTTATTACTTCACAGGACTAGTTGATTGCTTTTCTTTTCTGTTCTTGCTTGTACTAATTAGTAACAGGTTCATTCAGAACTCTTTAGGAATAGTAAGGCAGAAAGACATTGAAGACATCAGTATAGCTTTAATAGACATAGTATTATTTACCAAAGTATTCAAGTATATAAGTGATTATTTTGTGTTATTCTGAGTTGGAGTGTCCTCTTTGAAACATAATTCATAACATAGACATTTGTTTGTTCAGTGCATCTACTGTGGTGTCTACAAAAATGAGTGGGGTATAGATGATACCCGAAAGTGGACAGCAAAGGTGCTAATCATTTATGAATGATAATGTTGGTTAGCAATTAAATTATCGATGTTATTGACCTTAACAGAGTAGTTATAGCACAGTGTTTAGGATTTTACACTGGGAATTAGGCCAACTTAACAATTTTAGGATAACTTCTGAGCATTTATATTTAGACTTAGCAAGCTTCTCTTAAATACCTTCTTCAATTTTTTAATACTCAGTGTTAATTCAAGAAGTAGACTAGAATTTTGGTGTACTCAAAAGCAGTTTGTTATAGACAGAGCTAAATGAAGGCTATTTTACGTACCATTTTGTTTCTCCTTGATGATGGTAGTGAATAGGAAGGATCTCAAGGAGATATTTTGGAGAAGAAATATTTATAAAATACGAACTAGGTTATGTGATCCCTTCCCCCACCCTTTCATGTTGGCATAAAAATGTAGGAGAACTTTAGTTAATATGCCTTTTTGAGTAGCTTGGCAAAGGATTGAATCTATTGGATTGCTCTACTAGAATGTATTTAACTGTTTCCTTATAAATGTTTTTTCAAAACTTTTATTTTAAACATGGATTTACATTCTCTTACATACTTTTTATGCCCAAGTGTGATAACAGCTTTAGCATTTAGAAGTAGACTTACTGGAAAAGGACACATATATCTAAATATAATATTAGACTTTTGATATTTATTGGCAAATCATTCTAGACCAGTGCTATCCATTAGAGATTCTTATGATGATGGGAATGTTCTGTATCTGGTATGGGACATTTGAATTGTGATGAGTATACCTAGGAAACTGAATTGTTAATTTAATTTTGCTTTTAGTTAATTTTGATTTAAAGTTAGCCATATATATTTGGCCAGTGGCTACAGTATTGACAGTACAGGTCTAGAAGATTCAAACCAAATTTCATTTCCATTAGCATTCTATGGGAGTGTATATCCCCTATACTCTGGTCAACATGAACTTTTTTCATGAAGTTTTGGCAATTTTATAGGTTAAAATGCTTTATTTGTGTGTTTTATGTTATTATTATTTGCTTCCGAGGTTGAGTACCTGTGGACATTAGGTTTTTTTTTTTTTTTTTTTTAACCAATAGATTTCCTGTATGTTTAGTCAGGTGTTTATCTTTTTCTATCTTATTTTTGTTTTTTTATATTAATATAAGTAACCCTATCTCATATTACAGATGATTTTTCCCAATTGATTTATTTTATTTTTTTAATATTTAAATGATTGTAAATTGCATAAGTATCTTTAATCTGTAGGGCAAGAATTTTCAAGGAGACACTAGTTCTATTAAAATAGTGTAAGGGGATTCAAGGATAAAAATTGAAGAGGAAAGATAAAGAGAATGAATATGGCACTATGATTAGTAATTAAGCCAGAGTCCACTTCAAGCCAAAGGACCTTCATATAACTCCTGATTTAATAAAAACTTTGATTTGCTGAATAATTTGGGAGAAGTCTCTTTACCTCTCCAAGTTTTGGATTCCTCTTCTATAAAATGGAAATGAGACTGTCTACTCTCCCTGATAGCGTTGTGAAGATCAAGTGGATGTAATATGAGGTACAATGCTTTGTGAAGTTTCAGTGCGGGTGTTCACCTGAAGCTAGTAGAATTCAGGTGAACAGCTTCCTGGTGGTGGCAGCAGTGAATGGTATGGGACCATGACTAGGGGGTTTGTATGTAAGCTACAATAATGTTGGCAAATATAGGACTGGGAAGAAAGTGGTTTGATAAGCAGCTCTTTAACACTTTCTTACAGATAGCATAATGTTGCCAAAGTTTAACAGAAAAATTCAAATGTAGTGAACAGTATCTACTGAAAATCTGATTTTTTAAAAAATATGTATAGCAACAATGAAAATCCCCTCTTCATAGATTCTACAACCTAATCTTAGATCTTTTTTCCTTCCCTTTCAGATGAACGGGACAAAGTTCAAAAGAAAACGTTTACAAAATGGATAAATCAGCATCTCATGAAGGTCAGTGTATGGCATCTCCCCACCCCCCTTCTTGAAGTTGTTTTGTATACTTTAATTTACTGTGCAGTAATTGATTGTATAGCTCTGAAGCAAAACTTTTTGATATCAACTTGAAATTCTAAATTCTATGGCACTTCTTATGTATTTTAGGTATCTGTAATTATTTGGTAGGAGGCATGTGGGTAATGATGGATTTGGAAAGGTAAATACCCAGTCATTATGGTACATTCTGTGACATAGTGAAAAAAAATTATTATTCAACTTTAAAAAAAGCTCAGCAGTTTAAAAAAATTGTAAATATTTATGTTAGGATGTAGAAAAGCTGTAGTTCTCATTAAAACTTTTTTTCCTCTCAAGATTCAAGCCAATTTCTGGCATCAGATTTATGTAGGTATAGAGGGTTAGAGGAGAGTAATGATGGATTACAGATTCAGAAGTCTAGACTCATTTTATTTCTTAGTTTAGTGACTCAGGCCTTGGTGCTTATGCCTACATTTCTCTGTGAAACACTTAATGGCAGCACTTTCTAAAATTTTATTTATTTGTGTACAATGGGTCACTTTGAGAATGTGATATAAACTCCCCAGAAAATGCAGATTGCATTGAAGCTCTTTGATAAATCTCAGAACTAAAGAATCTTTAGGGTTTCACAATTAACTCCTAGTTACTTTGTCCCCCTTTAATGAACAGCACTAAAGTTGGAAATATGTAATGTTTTAAGTCTCTTGGACTTTTGAAAGAGTTTCCTCCCAAATTTTATTAAACATTATTTTAAATGTGATTATATTCTTAAGCTATCTCATAAATCCTATTTTAAATCATCTTGTAGCATTTAAATTCATGTAGCAGTGATTCTTATTATAGGGGTCATATGGGAATTACTGAGAGGTATTTTAACTCCTCTCTCACTACCTATTAAAAAATGCTTTCCCCAAATTCTGACATGACCTTCAGACACTAATCATTTCTGTAGGAAGTTTCTGTTACTACAGGGAACTCAATCCCTTGGTATGCTAGCAAATGATAAAAAGTTGCAAACCTTTGCAATTGCCTACTCTTTTCCAAACCTTTGTCTCATCTTGCAGGTACCATGCATATTGTGTGAATGGGATTCTTTTCTATAAACTGGGACAGAGATGGACTGAGATGAGAGTTGGGTGTAGAACTTTGAAGCTGATAGCTCCAAAAGGATTTTTCTATTTCTGAGGTGAATCTAAGGAGCAAGGTTCTTGATGAAGAGGTGTCCCTGTTGCAACTGCTGTCTTGCCAATCTTTGTATTTGTGGCTCTTTTTAGGGTGAGCAGGTGGTAGGGGGCACCTGCAGGTGGTAGGGGGTACCTGCCCCATGTCTTCTGGGACTCATAGTACTGGTACTGTACACACAGGTATTTATTGGGGGCCTACTCTGTGCCAGGCTTGTTGGACTAGGCCATTCATCTCTGAGTAAGTAGTTCATAAATGGAATAATTGAGTATAAAGAGTCTACGTTTGCTAACTATCAAAATACTTGAACTGTTTGAGGACAAAGGCTGTATATTACTCACTCTGAGGGCCCATCATAGTGCCTAGCAAGAGTATTTGCACTGTATATGATCAATGTGCATGCCCTCCATCAAATCATTTAATCCTCTGAACAAGCCTCCATGGTGGTTTAATTTTATGGATATTCACCCATAACCTTTAGAGTCAGATAGCAAGGGCTCAAATCCTTACGTACTCAAATATATCACCTCTTCTTTTGTGATGAAATGACAAAAATTAAAGGCTTAATGCTTTTGTAACACCATAAGAATTGGGAAAATAAGTATTTTAGTTAAACACAGTAGCCAATAGATGGACACTAGTCCAACTGATTAGGCTTATAATCAAATTTGCTTATTTATTTCTTGGAGTCTATTATAGGTCAGAATTTAAAATTATACTCTCATTAAATGAAGAACCTAATTGCTCTAACCAGGACTTTCGATACTATATTGAACAGTAGTGGTGAAAGTGTGCACCCTTATCTTGTTCCTCATTTTAGAGGAAAAGCTTTCAGTTTCTCACGATTGAGTATGATGTTAGCTGTGGTTTTGTCACATATGGATTTGTGTTATGTTTAGATGTGTTTCTTCTGTTCCTGTTTTTTAAAATGAAAGAGAAATTGATGCATAAGAAGAGAAAGAAACCAGGAATAAAAATTAGATAAAATCTGAATAATTCTGTATGCATTTTGTTTTGTCAGTTTTTTTTTCAAAGACTTATTTACTTATGCATACAAGAACAGAGGTTCAGGGGATGAGAAGATTCACCAGAGATAGAGTGGGGAACAGACAGGCAGACTGACTGAAATATACTTTTTTTTTTTAATAGAGGCATGTTTTATTTATTTATTTATTTATTTGTTTGTTTCTTTGTTTGTTTTGTTTATACATGCACTGGGTACAGTCAGAAGCGCGGGAGGGTGAGAGAATTCACCAGAGCCAGAGCAGGGAGCAGAGCAGGCAGAAGGACCCAAGTACACTGCTGAGGGGAACAGCAGGCGGCAGGAGAGGTCTGCGCACCATGTGGGACCCTCCTCCGGTGGACGGGGAGCAGCCGGGGATCGAACTGGCGCTGCAGAGGCTGTGGGCAGCTTCGCAACCCAGTGCTCAATCGCTGCGCCACCGGGGAGGCCCTGAAATATACTTTTGAAAGGAGCAGCGGGCGAGACAGGAGAGGTCTGCTGCGCCATGTGGGCAGCTCCCTGGCTGGCCAGGGATCGAACTCATGCTCCCTACTTCCCTGGAGTTGTGCATTGGGATGATCCTAAAGGACTGTAGGCCCTGGAGATGCCACACTTCCCCTTGGCTTAGCTGCCCAGAGTATTGACTCAGGCTGGGATGCATCCCCCTTCTTTTGAAATAATTCTTAAAAATTGTGTCCTCTTTTAATAATTTTCTCATTTATTTATTTAAATTTAATATTATGTAATTACCCCTGTTCTCTTTACCCTTTTTGGCTCCAAAGAAAACTGGTCTTGGAGTTTTTGTTCCTTTGGCCAGTCAGGTGTTTAAAAGGTTAGTCCTACAACAGAATTTTCTTCACTAGAATTTTTGTTTTATAAATAATATATTCTGTTAACTTAGAACAAATTGTCTGTGAAAGAAGAATGTCTTCTACAAGGTCATCAGTCTGTGATATATAAACCAAAGATGGGAGGCAGCAAGAAGTCAGGCAGTTTTGTGCAGGCTTTACAGTTTATTGTTTGTGCGACCTTACCCTTCTTAGGCCCTCATTTGTAAGATGGTAGAATGATAGTTTAGTATGAGGCTTTAAATGACACAATCTTTCTTAGCATAAAGGATGGTACTTGGCACATTGTAAACAGTCGATAAATGAGAATTTATGGTATAGAAGAGTGGGTGGACTTGGATGATTTCTAACACAGTTGTAAAGTAGGTAGGTGTGCATTTGCTGTTGGTGCCCTTCTTCCTATGTTAGCCAAATCCCTTTTCTTAACCTGGTTATTTCCAATTTAGCTTCTTCATTTGCTAAAAGCTGGGGTTTGGGAATCAGAATCTATTGAAGAGATCGATTAGTTTATTGCCTCTTTCTCTTAGTCTAGCTGGACACTGAAGAGTTAAGTACTGAGGTAATCCTATAAAATTATACCTTCCCTGTGCCCATATACCTCACCCAGCAATTTATGAATTGAGCATGGGCCTAAAAGGCCTTTTTTCCTTCTTTTTGAATTCTTTCTGCCATCCCCCCTCTCTTTAGAGAAAGTACGTCCATGAAGGCTCATTATACTTTTCAAAGCCTGGCAGCTTTTGGTCAACAGTGGTAATTTCCCTTAGATTCACACTTGGAGGGTGTCATCCAGTTCAGTTTCCACATTTAACAGAAGGGAAAACTTGCTGGTAGAGCTGCACTAGAAGTCATGAAATGAGAATGAGTTAGAATAAGGGAATGGGCCTAAATTTGATTTCTTTGTGCACAGTGATGTTACAGATTTGCTGGCAGGTTCCCCTTGCTTATGTGCTCTGCTTAATTTTCTCTACCTTATATTTTCAAGTATGTGCTAGTTAATCCCCATGACATAAGAAGTTAGGATTTATGCACCTGTAAATGTCATATACCCTGTGTGCAGGGAATAATTCTGGGGTGATAGATTTCTAAAAATTTAGATTACTGGAAAAAGTAAATATTGTGGCACTTCTAAATGATTCTTCTGTAAATATACTTTCCTTAAAATATGTGGTTAGGATTTTTTAAAAAAAAGATTTATTTATTTATTTATACAAGAACCAGGGTACAGGCCATATGCGTGGGAAGGTGAGAGAATTCACCGGAGACAGAGGGGGAACAGAACAGGTAGACTGATGAAATACACTGCTGAGGGGAGCAGCAGGCACAATAGGAGAGGTCTGCTGCACCATGTGGGACACTCGCTGGCCAGCAGGGATTGAACTGGCGATGCAGAGACTGTGTACAGCTTCACAGCACGGTGCTCAACCGCCTGTGCCACAGGGAGGCCCAGGATTTTTTATTTTAATAGTTTATTCTCTAGAAAGTAAATGTAGCTTTATTTCATACTTCTCAGAGCTAAAATTGTATTTGTTTAAAGTAAACATTTCTTCATGGAAACATATATTTGGTGAGCAGATGTATCTGGCTTTTTTCCAAATGTACTTAAATTTCTTGTTCTGTTTGAGTTATATGACTAAGTCTGTCTTTAAATTGTTCTGGCAGGAATGTTTTACTTTTGATTCATCATTTTTCAAAATACTTTAAAGAATAAGTCCGGTTAATACATTGTTGTCTGCAGCCTGTAGGAATCTCTTCCACACCCTGAGTAGATCAGACTGTTTACCTCTCAAATTGTGGTTTCTAGGTAACCTATTGATGTCAGTAACATTTAAGTCTTTAGTGTAATTTAAATCACAGTGCTAAAAACATGAGTTGCTATTGAAAATACCTGAGATGTTGGGTAGTTGTGTTACCCAGAGAATTGTTCTGAAACATAAGATTAATAACAT